AATGCTCACGATAGATTACAATAAACTTGGCATAAAATGAAAAGTATGGATAGAAGATAAACCCAGTGCAGCGAAGATAGAAATTACATAGGGAGAAAATAAGGCTAGAATTGCAATGTGTAGTGCTTGGAATGTAATTTTATGTACAGTTTTAACTTTAAATAGCAGGCAAACAGAAACCCAAAATACCCTGAGCAACATAATACTTATGAGTGTTTGTCCTTTCAAAAAGGTAATCAATGAACTCGAATACTTGAGAATAGTCGTAAAATAATAGGTGGGGACTTTTATAATACCGGTTCTCATATAAGTGCCTAATAAGTAGATGTACTTGTACGTACAGACACCCGGAAAATAAAATGTAATGAGATATTGAAAGGTAAGGACACGCAGCGTAAAACAGAGTAAGATGAGTCGAGGTTTGGAGTATAAGAGGAACAAAAGTAGATAATGCCCATCAAAATAATCGATGCTGGAGGTGTACCTGTGAAACTAAGTTCAAATAACATGAAATCTAGTGTAACTAAGTCCTGACCAATAGACTGGTGGAAGTTTTCACTGAGAAAATAAGTCGGATCAGTGTCAATGTTTGTAAGCAGAGAAAATTACTCTGTCAAGATAATATAGCGTAGGAAGAGTTAAGGGGCAAGGAATTTGTTATATGCATGTAAATAGTGCAGAGATCAAATAGGAATAGATTGTGGAAGAAGCTTAGCTTTAGTGTGGAGATGATTTAGTTTATGCAATGGATCTGGCTTGCTTGAGCAGTTGCTGTTTCAAATGCATTACATTTGAGGAAGATTGACCATCGGCTTCGAATGCAATTAAACTGCATGGGGCCAAGCCGAGCTCTGAAAGAGTAGCCTGGAGATCTGCAAGTTCAGTGCGCGCAGTGGGCGGGCGCTGCATTTTACCACCAGGAAAGACGTGACCTGGCGGTGACCAGAGCTTGAATACAATGCTTGGCAATTCAAGGCACTCTGAAACCCATTCACGTAAGGTTCCCAGCTTATCGTTAGCGTAAAAGTGTCCCTACAATAGATATGAGAGGAAATAAAAGTATACTGATATATTAGATGACCATATAAATAAATAAATACTTGATAATAAAAAAGTTGATGGCCTATTGGAACTCATTGAAGAAAATTTCGAGGACTATTGTTTATAGTCAAGCAGCATTATACAAGAATATTAGCTTACATTAACATATTTACCAGGCTAAAATAAATTACTTAGAATCGGCAAAAATGACTAAGATGGTGTAGACAGATGCCCTCGTTAGCATTAAATATGGTGGTTTTGTAATATTAATGAATGCAAAATGAAGTCCGATATGTAAAATTAAAGGCACGATCCAAGCACTGAATCCTCGCCCAAAGCTGAATTTGTACCCATATAAGAGAAGTTTTTAATTCACTTCCTATTTTGTTATACCATCCTTAGTATTAAACAATTAGAAC